TCTGTCTGTGTGTCTGTCTATCTATCTATCATCTATCTATCTCTAATTTTTTTTAAATAGGGCGTTCTTCTTTCAATCCAGTGGGTCCATGGAACCCATGCTTTTGATCGCAGGAAGGATCAGATTTAGACACCTGAAGCGATGCAATATTCCATCCAGCCACCAGAGACAGCAAATGTTAATTTTTTTCCATTTCTCTTTGCTGCCCTCTGTTGGAAAGCTGCAGATAAACATGGCCCGGAAGGGAGACAGAAACTCCCCTCTGCTGCCTCCTGTGGTTGAATTAATCTTTGCAACACCCTGAAGATATGATGATGCTTGCAAGATTTGCAAGAGACCACGTTTGATGGGGAAAAGAGAGACAAAATGATTTTTTTTAACCTTTCCTTCTGAGGCTTAACTTACTATTTTAAATTCCACCCTGTTTTTTCAAGGCATATTTGTTCCTTAAAATGCTGCCTGAACTGGGAGAAGCCTCCCTGTTTAAGTGCAGTCTACCTCGAGCCGCCGGGTTCAAAGTAAAATGCAAAGAAAATGTAAAATTGCATTGCTGGGTTGAATTAACTCAGCAATGAATTTTCAAGGGAGGTGTGGGATTTTTTCCCCCTTTTCTTTCTTTTTTTTTTCCAGCGCAGCTTTCAAATATGTTTTTGCAGGGGGGGGAGGGTGGTTTGACAGCACAGCCTGGCTGTTCCTCTGGGCCCCCCCCCTCCTGACACTGAATTACTTAAACCTTCTAAATTCATTAACGTAAAAGTTGTGAAATTGAGGGAGGTGAGAAGTTGGTAATTAATGGGGAAAAAACCCAGGCTCGGTGGGAAAAAAAGCATAAATTTCAGGGTTTTTATAAAATTTTTCCTCTTTTTAATTCCCTTTCTGACTATTTTAATCCCAGGGCAGGAAAGACTGAGAAATAATTGATGGTAGATCCTTGAAAAACAAGGTGTTTTGCTGTATATATATATATATTTTTTAAAAAAATATGCTCCTTAATTATAAGAAACCGTGATTTTTTTTCCAAACATACCAAACAAGCAGAAAAGAACAACAAATACAGACTTTCCTGGAGTTTTTTTTTTTTTTCTTCATTCTTTGGCTCCGGCTTGCAAAGAACCCTCCCTTCAAAAAATAAATAGCACAGCGTCCCAAATTGTGGGTTTCGGCATTGTGTAGTAGCCTAATATTTTGCAAAATTGGCAATTTTAAGAAGTGCGGATTTAAACTCCCAGAATTCACCAGGCCAGGGGAATTCTGGGAGTTGAAGTCGAGTTTAAGAAGTGCGGATTTAAACTCCCAGATTTCACCAGGCTAAAACTTTCCTGCCTAAGGTGAGATTAGAACTCACTGCCTCCTGGTGATTGGCCCAAAATCACCCAGCTGGCTTTCACGTCGAAGGCGGGACTAGAACTCACCGTCTCCTGGTGATTGGCCCAAAGTCACCCAGCTGCCTTTCATGGCTTGACAGAACTAGAACTCACCGTCTCCTGGTGATTGGCCCAAAGTCACCCAGCCAGCTTTCACGTCTAAGGCGGGACTAGAACTCACCGTCTCCTGGTGATTGGTCCAAAGTCTCCCAGCCAGCTTTCACATCTAAGGCGGGACTAGAACTCCCAGTCTCCTGGTGATTGGCCCAAAGTCACCCAGCTGCCTTTCATGCCTAATGTGAGACTAGAATTCACTGTCTCCTGGTGATTGGTCCAAAGTCACCCAGCCAGCTTTCACGTCTAAGGCGGGACTAGAACTCCCAGTCTCCTGGTGATTGGCCCAAAGCACCCAGCTGCCTTTCATGGCTTGACAGAACTAGAACTCACCGTCTCCTGGTGATTGGCCCAAAGTCACCCAGCCAGCTTTTCCGTCTAAGGCGGGACTAGAACTCACTGCCTCCTGGTGATTGGCCAAAGTCACCCAGCTGCCTTTAATGGCTTGACAGAACTAGAACTCACCATCTCCTGGTGATTGGCCCAAAGTCACCCAGCCGGCTTTCCATCTTAGGCGGGACTAGAACTCCCAGTCTCCTGGTGATTGGCCCAAAGTCACCCAGCTGCCTTTCATGGCTTGACAGAACTAGAAACATCACCGTTCCTGGTGATTGGCCCAAAGTCACCCAGCCAGCTTTCACGTCTAAGGCGGGACTAGAACTCACTGCCTCCTGGTGATTGGCCCAAAGTCACCCAGCTGCCTTTCATGGCTTGACAGAACTAGAACTCACCATCTCCTGGTGATTGGCCCAAGTCACCCAGCCGGCTTTCCCATCTAAGGCGGGACTAGAACTCCCAGTTCTCCTGGTGATTGGCCCAAAGTCACCCAGCTGCCTTTCATGGCTTGACAGAACTAGAACTCACCGTCTCCTGGTGATTGGCGAAAGTCACCCAGCCGGCTTTCCCGTCTAAGGCGGGACTAGAACTCCACTGCCTCCTGGTGATTGGCCCAAAGTCACCCAGCTGCCTTTCATGCCTAAAGCGGAACTAGAACTCACATCTACTAGTCTCTGGTGCCTTTAGCCTACCAAACCTCTCAATTTATCTTAAATTTGTTGGTTTTAACAGTTCAACAAACTGGCATGAAAGCAGGTCTTTATTTATGATTCGGCCTGGCACAAACGGTGTTAAGATGTTATTTTTCACTCTCCCCAAAATTCATTTTTTTAAAAGCAAAAAATAAGCATTTAAAAAGAAAAAAAAAACAACTCTTAGAAGATGGGAAAAGCCTCTCTATACACACCGCTTGCAAAGGCAAGGATTAGCCAATGCGGGTGGGACAGAAGAGCCGGCTTAAAAATATACTTTCAGAAAAGTTTTGTTTTTTTCAACCAAATATATAATTAGCCTGTAGGTTACGGAAAGGCTAACCGAAAAAAAAAATAATAATAATGTTTTTCGTTCTTCAGCGGAGACAGAGGAAGAAAAGGAAACGCTGCTGAGACTCAGTTCAGCTCTTTTAAAAAAAAAATATATATATATATTTTCCAAGATGATTTACGAGTCTAAGAGTTTGTCTCTCAGTTCAGACATTGGTTGAACCCAGAAAAACTAGTTGAATTCCTGAAGGGCTGGGAGGACTACAGCACCCATAAACCCCAGCAAACGAGGCCTTTTCTAGGTTTATTTAAGTATTTTTTTTTTTTAATTCTTCATTTGCCTTTATTTATTTTATGGATAAATAACTCAAAAAGTCTTCAAAGATTGGTCGAAAAGAAAAAAAGAAAAGAACAGGCTGGCATCTTGATGGACGGTGTGTTTTTATATCTTCCTCTCTCTTTCTTTTTTTTGTTCTTTGTTCTCTCCTTTTTATATATATATATATATAGTTTTTATAACTACCCAGAGATATTGACAAAAGGCCCAGCTTTTGTAAATGAAACCTGTAAATCATTTCGGGAGACATAAAGGCTGGTTAATAAAGAGCCCGAAGAGTTTGAAAGTCGTAACGGCCTCTTTGCTTTTCGAGTGCCTATTATATCGCTCTATAATGTTGACATATAATTTATTTCCCTCTGTTCTGAACCTGGAAATAAAAATCGCTCTCTGGAGCTCTTAATGTTTAGCCTGACAGCCGTTTCCAGATTCCTTCTTGGGTCTTTTGCGCCTCTTTTGCGGGTAGTTGAGCTAAATACAAATTCCTTTCTTTCTCTTACATTTTCCTTCCTTCCTTCCCTCCTTTTTTCCTCCCTTTCTTCTGTCTCCTTCCTCCCTCCCTTTTTCAGTTTTCCTTCCTTCCTTTTCTTCCTTTTACCCTTCCTTCCTTCTTTCCATCCATCCATCTCTATCATCTCCTCCCTCCCGCCCTCTCTCCTTTCCCACCTTCCTTCCTTTCTCTCCCTCTTCCTTCCTTCCTTCTCCTTCCTTCCTCCCTCCCTTTCTCTTTCTTTCTCTTTCCCTTCCTTCTTCTCTCCTCCCTTACCCACCTCTCCCTTCTCCCTTCTCTTTCCCTTCCTTCCTCCTCCTCTTCCTTTCTCTTCCTCTCCCTTCCTCCTCTCTTTCTCTTTTCCTCCTCCCTCCCTTTCTCTTTCACTTTCCTTTCCTTCTTCCCTCCTCCTCTTCCTTACCCACTTTTCCCTTCTTCCTTTCCTTTCCCTTCCTTCCTTCCTCCTCCTTTCTCTTCTTTCTTCCCTCCTCCTTTTTCTTACCCACCTCTCCCTTCCTCCTCTCTTTCTCTTTTCCTCCCTCCCTCTCTTTTTCTTTCCCTTCCTTCTTCCTTCCTCTTTTTCTTACCCACCTCTCCCTTCCTCCTCTTTTTCTCTTTTCCTTCCTTCTTCCTTCCTCCCTCCCTTTCTCTTTTCCTCCCTCCCTCTTTTTCGTTCCCTTCCTTCCTTCCTTCCTCCTCTTCCTTACCACCTTTCCCTTCCTCCTCTCTTTCACTTTCCTTTCCTTCTTCCCTCCTCTTCCTTACCCACTTTTCCCTTCTTCCTTCTCTTTCTCTTTCCCTTCCTTCCTTCCTCCTCCTTTCTCTTCTTTCTTCCCTCCTCCTTTTTCTTACCCACCTTTCCCTTCTTCCTTCCCTTTCTCTTTTCCTTCCTTCCTTCCTTCCTTCCTCCTCTTCCTTACCACCTTTCCCTTCCTCCTCTCTTTCACTTTCCCTTCCTTCTTCCCTCCTCCTCTTCCTTACCCACCTTTCCCTTCTTCCTTTCCTTTCTCTTTCCCTTCCTTCCTTCCTCCTCCTTTCTCTTCTTTCTTCCTTCCTCCTCTTCCTTACCCACCTTTCCCTTCTTCCTTTCCTTTCTCTTTTCCTTCCTTCCTTCCTCCTCCTTTCTCTTCTTTCTTCCTTCCTCCTCTTCCTTACCCACTTCTCCCTTCCCCCTCTCTTTCTCCTTTCCTTCCTTCCTCCCTTCCTCTCCCCTCCCTCCGTTTTGCCAAGAAACCCACCGCTCCCCTCGCCAAGCGCCCGGGCGGAGCAGCGCGATCCGCCCCCGGAAAGGCGGAGCAGCTGCGCGCTTGGTGCCCGCCCGGCCGCCGGCCTGCCTGCCTGCCTGGCTGCGGTTCTCGCGGGGGCAGCGGCGGGTGCGGAGCCGGTGGGGAGGGGGAGCCTGCCGGGGGGCGATCCGGGATGGAGGGGGCGCTGCTGCAGCTCCTGGCCTGGAGCTCGCTGCTCTTCACGCTGGGCATGTTCGGCACCGGGCTGTAAGCAGGGCTGGGGGTTGTAAGCAGAGTTGGCGGGTTGTAAGCAAGACTGGGGGGCTGGAAGGAGGGCTGGGGGTCTGGAAGCAAGACTGGGGGGGGTTGCAAGCAGGGTTGGGGGGCTGTAAGTAGGGTTGGCGGGTTGTAAGCAAGACTGGGGGGGCTGTAAGCTGGGCTGGGGGGCTGTAAGCAAGACTGGGGGGGGGGTTGCAAGCCGAGTTAGAAAGCTGTAAGCAAGACTGGGGAGTTGCAAGCAGAGCTGGAGGCTGTAAGCAGCTGGGGGGGGTTGCAAGCAGGGTTCGGGGGGGGGGCTGTAAGTAGAGTTGGCGGGTTGTAAGCAAGACTGGGGGGCTGTAAGGGTTAGAAGGCTGTAAGCAAGACTGGGGGCTGGAAAGAGGGCTGGGGGAATGTAAGCAGGGCTGGGGGGCTGCAAGCAGGGTTAGAAGGCTGTAAGCAGAGCTGGGGGTTGCAAGCAGGGTTAGAAGGCTGTAAGCAAGACTGGGGGGCTGTAAGGGTTAGAAGGCTGTAAGCAAGACTGGGGGGCTGGAAAGAGGGCTGGGGGAATGTAAGCAGAGCTGGGGGGTTGCAAGCAGGGTTAGAAGGCTGTAAGCAAGACTGGGGGGCTGGAAAGAGGGCTGGGGGGCTGTAAGCAGAGCTGGGGGGGTTGCAAGCAGGGTTAGAAGGCTGTAAGCAAGACTGGGGTTGCAAGCAGAGCTGGCAGCTGTAAGCAGCTGAGGTGTTGCAAGCAGGGTTGGGGGGGCTGGAAGAAGGGCTGGGGGGCTGTCAGCAAGACTGGGGGGTTGCAAGCAGGGTTGGGGGGCTGTAAGCAAGACTGGGGGGCTGGAAGGAGGGCTGGGGGGCTGGAAGCAGCTGAGGGGTTGCAAGCAGGGTTGGGGGGGCTGGAAGCAGAGCTGGGGGGCTTGAAGCAGGCCTGGGGGTTGGGGAGCTGGAACCAGAGCTGGGGAGTTGCAAGCAGGGTTGGGGGCCTGTAAGCAGGGTTAGAAGGCAGGAAGCAAGACTGGGAGGGGGTTTGCAAGCAGAGCTGGGGGCTGTAAGCAGCTGGGGGGGGTTGCAAGCAGGGTTGAGGGAGCTGTAAGTAGGGTTGGCGGGTTGTAAGCAAGACTGGGGAGGCTGTAAGCAGGGCTGGGGGGCTGGAAGCAGAGCTGGAGGGTTGCAAGCAGGATTGGGGGGCTGTAAGTAGGGTTGGCGGGCACCGGGCTATAAGCAGAACGGGGGGGGGCTGTAAGCAGCGTTAGAAGGCTGTAAGCAGAACTGGGGGTTGCAAGCAGGATTGAGGGGCTGTAAGCAGAACCGGGGGTCTGGAAGCAGAATTAGAAGGCTGGAAGCAGGATAGTGGGGGGGGCTGGAGGCAGAGTAGAAATGAGGGGAGGGGGACTAGCCTTGTGGCAAACTGAACCCCCCCCGCCCTCCACAGTGCACAGGTGGATGGAAAATCCGGTTTGGGTGGGTGGAGCAGAGATTCCACCTGTCTGCTCAGGTGAGCCGGTGAATGATTGTCCAGGAAGCAGATTTACAGAAAGGAAAGTTTATGGTTGTGGGGCAGGGCAGAAGTGAAAAAAAAAATAGAGAAATAAATTTATTTATTTATGAATAAATTAATTTCCACAGGGAGGGAGGTTATGGGGCAGGAGAGTGGGGGGGGGTGCGATCTAACGTTTGCCCCGTCTTGTTTCGCACTCAGGACTGACCTCCGGAAAATGTTTGCAACCCGAAGCGTGGAAAACATCCAGTTTCTTCCCTTTCTGACGACTGATGTGAAGTAAGGCCGCTAGCGATGTGGCATCCCGGATTAGGGGGGTTGGACTAAATGATCTCTGGGTTCCCCCTCCGAGCCCTTACCTTACAAGATTTGGGGAATCGCTCGATCGATCAGGCATATTTGTACGATCGATCTTCTCAACGGTAACAGGCTCCTGATAAACGAGGGAGGCCATCAAAAATTGAAAAAAAAATTTAAATTGCCAAGGAGTCCTCGACCTTACGACCAGACCGACGTTTCTGTCGCTAAGTGAGACATTGGTTAAGTGAGCGTTAGCCACGTTTTACGACCCGTCTTGCCACCCAAGGTTGTAAAGTGTGTGTGTGTGTGGGTGGGGGAAAACTCACTTCATGGCTGTCTTCATTTAGCGACAGAAATGTGGGGCTCGATTGCGGTCGTAAGCCGAGGACTACCCCGGGCCATTTAAGACATCTCAGAGAAAGGGAGTGGGCTTGTCACTCAAAACTCTCTTTCCTTCTCTCTCTGGATCAGCAACTTGAGTTGGCTAAGCTATGGTTTCCTGAAGGGCGACTGGACGCTGATCGTGGTTAACTCCGTGGGCGCGACGTTGCAATCTCTGTACATCCTGGTTTATTTCTTCTTCAGCGCGGAAAAGGTGGGTGGGCTTGTCCCAAAGACACAAGACCCTCAGGAGGGGGGTCTCTCACTCCCCTCCCCCTTGGCCGAGCGGCGACAACTTGGGAACGAAACGCTTGGCCGAAACCTCCCTCTGCGAAGCTGGCACTCAAAGGTAGACTGCTCCTGACCTCGGAGTTCCTTTACCCAACCGATAAAAGTTTGCAAAGAGCCTTTGGGAGGTGTTTTTCGACCGACGTTCGAGCAGCTTTGGGGGTTGTCCCCTCCCTCCCTCTGTTGACTCAAGAGGGCTGGTGACTTGAGTCAACAAAAGCTCTTGTCCCCATCGGTCCAACTCCGCCTCGTGGGCTCACGTGTCCCGGGTCACCAACCGGCCACGAAGGGCGTGGAAACTGAAAAAATATTGACTTATGCCCAGAGTTACTAGGCCTCTCGGGAGAAACCCACAACTCCTGAGTGAGCCCGTATTTTTTAAACCTAGAGCTGCCTCCGTGTTTTTATAACTCTGTGCCAGTAACCCTCCTCCTCCTCCTCCTCCGTTTCTTTCTCCTTCCCTTCCTCCTGCTCCTCCTTTTCTTTCTCTTTCTTCTCCTCCTCCTTTTCTTTCTCTTTCTTCTTTCCTCCTCTTTTTCTTTCTCCTCCTTCTCCTTCACCCCTTCTCCTTTTCTTTCTCCTTCTCCTCCTTCTCCGTCCTCTCTTCCTTTCTTGTCTTCCTTCTCCTCCTTTTCTTTCCCTTTCTTTCTCCTCCTCTTCCTCCTCCTCTCCTCCTTTTCTTTCTCCTCCTCCTCCTTTTTTCTTCTCCTCCTCCTCTTCTTCTTTCTCCTCCTCCTTCTCCTTTTCTTTCTCTTTCTTCTCCTCATCCTCCTCTTTTTCTTTCTCCTCCTTTTCCTTCTTTTCTTTCTCCTTCTCCTTCTTCTTCTTCCTCTCTTCCTTTTCTTTCTTGTTTTCCTTCTCCTTTTCTTTCCTTTTTCCTCCCCTTTTCCTCCCCCTTCTCCGTCCTCTCTTCCTTTCTTGTCTTCCTTCTCTTCCTTTTCTTTCCCTTTCTTTCTCCTCCTCTTCCTCCTTCCTCTCCTCCTTTTCTTTCTCCTCCTCCTCCTTTTTTCTTCTCCTCCTCCTCTTCTTTCTCCTCCTCCTTCTCCTTTTCTTTCTCTTTCTTCTCCTTTTTTTCTTTCTCCTCCTTCACCTTCTCCTTTTTTTCTTTCTCCTTCTCCTTCTTCTTCCTCTCTTCCTTTTCTTTCTTGTTTTCCTTCTCCTTTTCTTTCCCTTTTTCCTCCCCCTCCTCCTCTTTTTCTTCTTTTCCTCCTCCTTTTCTTTCTTTCTCTTCCTCCTCCTCCTTTTTTCTCTCCTTCTCCTTTCTTTCTCCTCCTCCTCCTCCTTTTCTTTCTCCTTCTCCTTCCTCTCCTCCTTTTCTTTCTTGTCTTCCTCTCCTCTTCTTTCTCCTTCTCCCTCCTCCTCCTCCTTTCAACCCCTCCCTCCTCCTCCTCCTCCTCCTCTCTGCAGACCCCACCTCTAGTCTAGCACTGATGATGTCACCTAGTTTGGTAATAAAATGTCTGCAAGAAAACGATCGACCTCAGAGCTACTCTATGTCAACAGAGGACAAATCCCACCTCCTCCTAGCACTGATGATGTTCCCTAGTTGGGTCAAGAAACGCCTGCAAGGAAGCTATCCAGCTCAGAGAGCACCAAAGGCCCTGCGTATTTTACATCTCTCTCTCTCTCCTCTCTCTCTCTCTCTCCCTCGCTCTCCAGCTTGGCGTCTTAAGGAAAACAACAGCCCTGCTGGCGGTCCTTCTCTTCGGCTACGCCTACTTTAGCCTGATGGTCCCCGATCCCACCACGCGCCTGGCCCAGCTGGGCCTCTTCTGCAGCCTCTTCACCATCACCATGTACCTCTCGCCGTTGGCAGATCTGGTACGTAACCTGGCGTCTTTGCTGCTCCTGGCTGTGGAGGCTTTTTGCGGGCTGAGGCAAAATCTCTGAATGGGTCATAAGAGGGAAAAGCTTGCATTCAGAAGGGTGTTTTTATTTCCCTGCCGTTGCCGGAGAGATTTGGAGCAAAAACTGTTGCAGGAGACAAGATAACATTTAATAATCATTTTCCTTCTCCTGTCTGCCTTTAGTTATTTGTCTGTTTTTTTTTTCTCTCTCTCTCTTCTGTCATCCGTCTATCCAACCAAACAGTTTTCTCTCTATCAAACGATCTTCTATCCCTGTTTTCTGAGTATTTCCTATCTTTTCTCTCTCTGACTGTCTGTCATCTATCTTCTTTTCTGTCTTGCCTCCCTGATCTATCTGCCACCCTCCCTTCCTTCCTTCCTTCCTTCCTTCCTTCCTTCCTTCCCTGTCGATCTATTTATCTATATCTATCATCTATCTATATCTATCTATCTATCTATCTATCTATCTATCTATCTATCTATCTATCTATCTATCTATCTCTATATCGATCTATCGATCTATCTTCATTATCATCTATCTCACTGATGTCTCAATCTCTCTATCTTACTTCTGTTTATCTTTTATCTTTTCCCTATTGCTAGCCATATCTTCCTTCCTTCCTTCCTTCCTTCCTTCCTTCCTTCCTTCCTTCCTTCCTTCCTTCCTTCCTTCTATCTTTGTCTGTCTGTCTCTTTTTCTAATCTATCTATCTCTAATCTCTATCTATCTATCTATCTATCTATCTATCATCTATCTATCTATCTCTTATCTATATCTATCTTCATTATCATCATCTATCTCACTGATGTCTCAATCTCTCTATCTTACTTCTATTTATCTTTTATCTTTTACCTATTGCTCTCCATAATATCTTCCTTCCTTCCTTCCTTCCTTCCTTCCTTCCTTCCTTCCTTCCTTCCTTCCATCTTTGTCTGTCTGTGTCTGTCTCTCTAATCTCTCTCTCTCTACTATCTATCTATCTATCTATCTATCTATCTATCTATCTATCTATCTATCTCTAATCTATATCTTCATTATCATCATCATCTATCTATCTCACTGATATGTCTCTATCTCTCTATCTTACTTCTATTTACGGTATCTTTTTATCTTTTACCTATTACTCCCCTTAATACATTTCCTTCCTTCCTTTTCTTTCCTTCCTTCCTCTTTCCTTCCTTCCTTCCTTCCTTCCTTCCTTCCTTCCTTCCTTCCTTCCTTTCCCTCCCTACCTCCTGAAAGCCATCCATCTCATCTACATCACTGGACAAGCTTATCAATTTAAAACTGTATCCTCCATTTTTCAGCCTCGGCGAGGGAGGGGCAGACCAAGCAACTTAATTCTGGGGGAGGGGAAAAAAAGCCTCGAGTCCAAGGATTACACCCTCTTCTGACCTAATTCAAATTAAAGTGAGTTCATCAAATGAAATGCATCTTTCATTTGACACACCCCTGTAGCAAGTAGCGGGAAGGAGGGGAAAGCAGTTTCTACTTTTCAACAGGTGCATCATTGATGGTTTCTCAATATTTGGCAGATGAGTGTGAAATATTGACGTGAGCCAATAAACGGCGTCACCGATACCGAAGGAAGAGCGAGAGAGGCATGATTTGCAGAAACTGTGATTTGGAGAACTTAAGGGGGGAAAAGAGGACAGGAAAAAGAAAAGAAGTTTAAAAAAGAGCCCAGCAAAAAGCCAAATGCTGACGTCAGCCAGGAAATGGCAATGAGAAAAATAGATTTTATTTTATTTTATTTTATTTTATTTTATTTTATTTTATTATTTTATTTTATTTTGATTTATATGCCGCCCTTCTCCGGAGACTCAGGGCGGCTTACAATGGGTTAAGCAATAGCCTTCATCCTTTTGTATATTTATACAAAGTTCAGCTTATTGCCCCCACAAACCTGGTCCTCAATTTACCCACCTTAGAAAGGATGGAAGGCTGAGTCAACCTTGAGCCTTGGCGAGATTCGAACTTGCAGTAATTGCAGGCAGCTTGGAGCTAAATACTACCTTTAACAGTAGCATTCGTCTGCTGCGCCACTTTTTATTATCTTTTATTCTCTCGTTTAATTGAATGGCCTTTGGTGTCTCCTTTCCTAATTATTTCTGGTGTTTCTGTGAAAGGGGAGGTGGGGGAAGAAATCTGGATTTCTGTGTGCTGGCATCTGAAACCTGTAAGGGACCGAATTTAAAAGAGAGAGAGAGAGAGAGAGAGAAAAGGAGAATTATGTACATTTTGAGACGTATCCAAGAAAGAAAGTTTTGGTGGTCCAAAACTCCTACGTTGCTTCATTAAAGAAAGAGTGAAATGGGGACATCTGATTCTATTCTATATATTCTATATTTTATATTCGATGATATTCTATTTTAAATTGTAAATAGTAAATTCTATTCTATTGTTTTTTTTTATATTCTGTATTTTCTATTCTATATTGTAAATTCTATATTTCTATTCTATTCTATTCTATTCTACTCTATTCTAAATTGTAAATTCTATATTTCTATTCTATATTATAAATTCTATAATTCTATTCTATTCTATTCTATTCTGTTCTGTTCTGTTCTGTTCTACACTACTCTACTCTGTTCTAAATTGTAAATGCTATATTTCTATTCTATTCTCTATTCTAAATTCTAAATTCTATATTTCTATTCTATATTGTAAATTCTATATTTCTATTCTATTCTACTCTACTCTAAATTATAAATTCTATAATTCTATTCTATTCTACTCTATTCTATTCTATTCTATTCTATTCTTCTATTCTTCTATTCTCGTAAATTGTAAATTCTACTCTATTCCATTCCCTCTCCTCTATATTCCATATTCTATTCCGTTCCCTCCTTATTCCCCTTCCCCCTTCCCTCCAGCAAAACAAGGCCATAAAATCGGGGGCGCCCTTCCCTGAACCATCGCCCTGCTTAGCAACGAAAACCCTGACTCCCGACTGTCGGCGTAAGTCGAGGACTCGCTGCCAACAAGCAGCCGTGCTGTGTCTCCCATTCCTCGCTTTCCGCCTCCCGCTTTGCACAACTGCCTGCCTGCCTGCCAGGCTCCCGTTCGGTCTCGTTCGCTCCCGACTAGCAACGGGCCAAGCGTGTTGGTGCACGCGGCTGGCACGCGTGCCGTTTTTCCGGTTTTTTTTTTTTTTTTAAGGGCAGCTCAACGCCCAGAAAGAAGCCGGACGTGAACAATTGCCCGTGAAGTAACTTTGGCAAAGGAATTTTTAATTTTGCATAAAGGGCAGGGCTCGGGCGGGGTTTTCGGAGTTTTAAGAGGCGCACCTGTCAGAAAAGGGCAAGAGAACTCACAAACCTGGTTTCGGGGATGCCTAACCAGGTTAAAGCATCACTAAAGACAAGCCAGGGTTCGCCTCCCGGGGAGCCTCACATCAACCCATCCAAGGTTTCTCTTCGGATCTGCGCAGGCTGGGAGCATCTTGGGGGGCGTTTTCAACCCTTCCCCGTGCAATTCCTTGGCGTTCCTTGGCGAGGTAGACTTCTACCGAAGCTGGAGGTTCTAGGGAGGGTTTGGTGGCTAAAGAGTCCAGCTGGATCTCTCCCCCCACCAGTTCCTGCCTTTTTCCAATTCTCCCTCGCCCTTCTGCTGCTCATACTTCTCTGCTTGTGTGTCAGGAAGTGTTTCCTGGTTGGTGAGGCGGCGGAACTCACTGCCACATGAAGTGGCAATCGGCTGTCAGGCAGCAGAACGGACAAGCCACGTGTAAGGGAGTTTTTCACTTGCCGAGCCTTCAAACAAAAGGTTGAGACGGTCAATTGTAGATTTTATTCATTGATTTTTTTTAAAAAAAAAACAAACTTTGATTCGATTTGATCTTCTGCCGTGCCGTCTCGTCTTCCTCCTCCCTGCAAACTTAGCGACGGGCGATCCGGTGTCAATTGCGGCCATAAGTCGAGGACTCCCGTTAAGTCTTGAACGACGCAGTGCTTAACTCCCCTGTGTAACCCCACTTAAACAGGTGTGCTGGCATCTGACCCCAAACAAACCCCATATGTTGGATTAATTTTTAAGACAGGAGCTTACTTAACAGTTGGAGGGCACCTTGGAGGTCATCTAGTCCAGCCCTCTGCCCAAGCAGGAGACCCTACGCCCGAGGCACGTTCAGCTTTGCAAGGTGGGAGTTTTTTTTAAAGAGTACGAGACCAGTTCAATGGCGGCTTATGCCATAAACTAACTACGATTAGGGACAACTGAATGAATTCGCCGTCTCTCTTCTTAACGTCGCATCCACGGAACGCATGCATCCTGTGGCGGGTGGAATTGAATTAAAAATGCCGAAAAAAATCACCCCCAAAAGACGTAAAAACCGGCGCCGATGTGGCTTACCAGCCAAACCGTGGTTAATATTAACTCCTTTTTTTTTTTCTTTGCAAGCGCCAAAACGAGCAACGTGCTCGCCTCTGCGTCGGGACTTTTTCCCCCACGAAAATTATCAATATTATCTCCGAATAATTTTTTGCCGGGTTCCCCTTATCTCCTGTGCCGTTCGGACAGTTGGATTCCCAATAAATATTTGATTTCAGGCGGAAGTAAATAATATATATATATATATATATATATTTTCTCCCAAGATCAAGATCGTGAAGAGCCGTTCCACCCGCTGTCTTTCCTTCCCTCTGACGGTCACCACTTTCCTGGCGTCGGCGAGCTGGACTTTCTACGGGCTCGTTCTGGAAGATCTGTATATTGCGGTTAGTCTCTGGCCAGGTTGCGGGGGACGGAGAGACGGGGCTGAATTAGGCCGAAAGAAACTGAGTTTCTGGGCAGAGGGAGAGGGCAAGCAGAGAGGGACGGTGGACAGATTTTTCTGCTTACGCTGCACGTCGTTCTCTTCCTTTGATAGAAGGGAATATTTGTAGCTCGGGATTGAACTGTAGCCCTGATGATGTTAGGTAGTTGGGTCGTGAGAGGTCTGTAAGAAAACCGCCAAGCTCGGAGAGTACCAAAGACCCCTCAGTCCTCCCCTTTCCCTTCCTCTTCCTCCTTTTCCTCCTCCTCCTCCTCCTCGCAAACCCCACCTCCTCCTAGAACTGATGATGTTAGCTAGTTGGGTCATGAGACGTCTGTAAGAAAACCGCCAAGCTCGGAGAGTACCCTTCCTCTTCCTCCTTTTCCTCCTCCTCCTCCTCCTCCTCGCAAACCCCACCTCCTCCTAGCACTGATGATGTTAGCTAGTTGGGTCATGAAATGTCTGTAAGAAACCCACCAAGCTTAGAGAGCACCAAGGACCCCTCAGCCCTCCTCCTCCCCTTCCTCTTTTCTTCCTCTCCTCCAAAACCCCACCTCCTTCTAGCACTGATAATGTTAGCTAGTTGGGTCATGAAACGTCTTCAAGAAACCCACCAAGCTTAGAGACCCACCAAGGACCCCTCAGCCCTCCTCCTCCCCTTCCTCTTTTCTTCCTCCTCCTCCAAAACCCCACCTCCTTCTAGCACTGGTAACGTTAGCTAGTTGGGTCATGAAACGTTTGTATGGAAACCAGACGAGAGAGCACCAAGGACACTCACAATCCTGTTCCTCCTTCTCCTTCTCTATCTTCTCCAACTTATCTCCCCCCCTCTTCCTCCTCCTCCTCCTCTTCCTCTTCTTCTTCCTCCCCCCCTGCTCCGAAACCCCACCTTCCTCCATCCCTGATGACGTTCCCCTAGTTAGCTCACGAAACGTCTCCGAACGAACCTCGGAGAGAAATCTCCCTCACCAAGGACTTCACAATTCTCTTCCTCTTCCTCCTTCCAGATTCCCAACGTGCCGGGCATCGCGACCAGCCTCGTCCGTTTCTGGCTTTTTTGGCGTTTTCCCGCCGAGCAGGACAAAAATTACAAACTGTTGCAGGCCTGAAGACGGAGGGGGTGGGGGGCAAGAAGCGGAGGAGATCCCACTCCTCAAAGCCAGCCGAGGAAGGAGAGAAAAACCCCAAAAATCAGAAAACTCTGCAGATGATGGACTTGCCCGCCTCGCTTTGCACACAGCCTGCTCACCTGTCCAGCAGTGTGGTCCATTTCCACCTCCATGGACCATTCTGGACATTTTACAGCGGGGGGGGGCGTGAGAAAAACCCCCCCCCCTCGGTTGGAGCAAACATCTGGATCTAGATGGACGGGATTCCCACTCTGGACTCTTTAAAAGAGGTTTGCAGATCCCACCAAGTCTGGGGAATGTAAAGGGGCTTCTCCCCACCAGATATTTTTTGGGGGTGGCGGGGAGCAGCCCCCCCCCGCCCCGAAAGCTGTTGGAAAAACCATTGAGTTTTGAAGATGGGAGCTTCCAAAATTTGCCAGTCTTTTCTCCCTCTTTCTTGATTCTTTATTCAGATCTGCCAACGCGACCAGCTTGTATACAACCGTTGCCTTATCCGTCCACCAGAAATGCCTTTTATATCTATATTTATATATATAGAGAAAAAGTTTTTATAAACTCTTCCCCCCTTCCTCCTTCGCCACCGGCTCCTCTTTTCCAATTTTTTTTTTTTTAAATGGATTCCAAAAATTAAAATCCAAAAAAGAGGGGGGGGGGAAAAAAAACCAGAGACAAAACAAGAGGATTTTTTTTTTTAAAAAAAAATGTGAATTGAAAAGGACAAAAATGCCTTTTTTAAAAAAAGAAAAATAAAAATTATCCCACGTCTCTTTTTTTTTTGCAACTGGCTCCTTTCTGTTTTTTTTAAAAAATTTGATTGAAATACAAAAGAAAAAGATGAAAAACAAGGTGAATTCAAAAGGACCAAAATGTCTTTAAAAAAAAATGATTCCACTTCCCGTTTGCAACCGTCTCCTCTTTTCAATCTTTTTTATTTGATTCCAAAGATTAAAATAGCAAAATCCAAAAGAAGGAAAAAAAAGAAGAGGAAAAAAAACAAGAGTCTAATCAATGTGAATTTTAAAAAAGGACAAAATGTCTTTTTTTTAAAAAAAAAAAAAATTCTCCCACTCTCTCTCGGCAACCGGCTCCCTCTTTCAATCCACCGGGCTCCCTTCTAGGTGGGAGATCTCCCTGAGGTCTTGACCTGTTGAACGTTGGGCCGAGAAGAAGGGAGGAGAGCCCCAGGCAAACATTCCACGGATGTAGCTTTATGAGTGTCTTGCAATAAACAGGAAAGAGAGGAGGGGGTTCTCTTTTTTTTTTAAAGAGTTGTTTTTTTACCTTCCCGGAGCAAAAAAATCTTTGAGATGATTAAAAAAAAAATTAGCGGACCTCATAAAGCAGGGAGTTCCTTCGGCTTTCAGTTGAGTGGATTTCTGCCTAAATGATCCCCGATATCTGTTTCATTCTATGATTCTATATAGTGGGGTTCCTCCTGGGGAAGGGGGCTGGCCTAGATGACCTCTGAAGGTCCCTTCTGCGTGGATTTTGTATAGAGGATTCCTCCTGGGAAGGGGGTCAGACTAGATGGTTTTTGAGGTCCCTTTCAGAGTGGGATTTCGTGAAGTGGGTTCTCTCTGAGAAGGGGGCTCGGCTAGATGACCTCTGAAGGTCCCTTCTCCACGGATTTTGTGTAGCGGATTCCTCCCAGGATGAGGGTCAGACTAGACAGTCTCTGAGGTCCCTTTCAAGAGTGGGATTTCATGTAGCGGGTTCTCTCTGAGAAGGGGCTGGGCTGGATGACCTCTGAAGGTCCCTTCCTGACAGATTTTTGCGTGGCAGATTCTCCCCAGGAAGAGAAGTCGGACTAAAGAACCTCGTGAGGTCTCTTCCAGTATGGGATTTCATGCACCGGATTCCTTCTGGGACGAGGGCTTAGACTAGATGGTCTCCGAAGGTCCCATCCTGAGATTCTGGGAAGGAGGTTGGCCTAGATGGTCTCTCTTTTTTGTAAATATTTTTTATTATTTTTCAAACATAAACATAAAATCGAGCAAAAACTCGATCCGGTCATAGATGGTTACCACGCTTACATTCCTTTAACAAACTCCATTCACAATTTCCCATTACATCTTTAAAAAGGTGAATATTCAAAACATGAGAAGAATAAATTTTAACATCAATTCTAACATCCTTATCTATATCGTATCGATACAATTTTAATTTCATATTTACTTTAGCTCATTTATATCTAAGTATCATTCCTGCTTATATCCGGTTCTTCTCCACATTGTCTTTATCATCCCTTTTACCATCAGTTGCAAAATACTTTTTAACAATATTCTAATCTCTTATTCTAATTATTAACCACGATTTTATCACCTCAATTCTTAATTTCAAACTCGATACATTTCCATGTTTCTTACCATTTATACAACAAAATTCTAACTACATTTCTTGGACTCTTGACCCATTCCATCAAATCTTGATAAGCCTAGATGGTCTCTTGAGGTCCCTTCCAGACTGAGATTCCGTCTAGTGGATCCCAGCATTCGAAAGGGACCAAAGTAATGCTCTCTTAAATCTCTTCTAGTGGTTTCTTGGAGTGGATTCCTCTTGGAAGAAACTTAAGGATGCCAAACTGCCCCCCCAACAACTCTTCCATTCTAGGATTCCCTGCATTGGGACGGGGTTCGTCTAGATGACCTCCCGAGAACCCTTCCAAACTCTTTGTGATTCTTTTGTTCCTTTGCAACCAATAGGTTTCATTTTCCCTACTGGCTACCACAAAGGCCCCTTTTGCAGAAAAAAAATGCACAATTTTACGAATGACTGAAATGTGTTCCCAAGTCCTGTTGGACCAGAACGCCAGGGAAACTGAGTCACGCAATCCTTGTCCTTCAAGCCACCGGTCTCTCCGGAAAGGGCTAATTATCTTCCCGGCTAATTACCAGGTGTTTTTGCTCTGCCCCCGCCAACTTTATGAAGGTGTGAGTTAAACAAACCCCAAAAATCTAGAATAGCCTGGTTTTTTTTGAGAGGGGAGAAAGAAACATCCCAAATTATTATTATTATTATTATTATTATGGATCGTAAAGACAATTTATCTGGCACACCCAAACAACGTAACTCGACGTGTAGGCCAGACTGCAAAAATAAATGCAGAGCGTGAAGGTAAAAGGCAGGCATTAATATTTATGAATAATTATAGTTTGGGCAGACAACCGAAGGCGGAAGGGAAAAAAAAAATTAATACAGGGAGTCCTTGAACTTAAAACGGTCCATTTAGCAACCGTTCAAAGCTACTGAAAAAAAAAATATTTCCTTTTGTTCTGGCTCAAATGTCAGGCAGACCCCCTGTGAATTTGAGCGATACCCCCCGTCCCCCCAGTGCTAAACGGACAATTTTAATTTCTTTCACCCCCTTTTCTAGTTTGCACAAAGTCCTGAAACAACAGTTTAAAAAGAGACAAGAGTCTAATCTTCTCAGTGGGTGCATGTAAATAAGATTTTGTCTGTCTTTGGAGTTGCGTACGTGTGTCTCTTTTGCATATATATATATATATGCAAACCTGGCCCCCACCTTGGCACCTTTGTTGCAAATGAAGTCTGTAAAATAGTATAGCCAGCAATTCTCCCCCCTCTCTATGGGATTTCCTGCTTCCCGTCCGCCACGCTCCAGAAATGAAAATTCAATTTAATTAAGCAGAAAAGAAATTCTCAAATCAAGTTCTACACGCCTCCGTTGTCGCCACACTTTTGGCTGGGAACGGAAAAAAAAAAAATCCCCTGTCTGGATTTTTTTATTTTTCCTCTTGAACGTTTTTTTTTTCAAATATATATATATATATATTTTTGGGGGGAGTTGTGTGGATCAGTTTTACAAAATTGTGGGATTGTTGTACGCCTCTCCCGCCCCCGGAGTGTGTTTCCGTGAGACGGGCAGATATATTTAAAAAAATTTGGATTGATAAAATTAGCAGAGATATAAAATACTGGGAAATCCTTTAGGTGCTTTTTCAGGCTGAAAAAATGGATAGAAGTGAATGGGGGTTTACCAACTGAAAAATGAATATGGGAAGAGATTTATGTAATATCAAAGGGGAAGTTGTCTGCTTATAATTGTTGTAAAGATCGGAAATGATTTCCTTAAGTGTCCTTTTCTTGCCTCTCCCCTCTCCTTCCTTCCTCACCCCTTCCCCTCTTCCTTCCTTCCCTTTCTCATTTCTTTTTCCTTTCCCTTTAATCCTTCTTTGCATCCTTCACTCTCATTATCAACTGTTTTCTCCTCCCTTCCTTGTCTCCATTTTCCTTCCTTGCTATCTTTTTCTTTTCCATCCATCCATCCATCCTTCCTTCCTTGTCTATCTATCTTCCCTCCTTTCTTCCCCATTTTCCTTCCTTGCTTTTTTCTCATTCCTTCCTTCTTTCCATCCATCCTTCTCTTTTCCTTCCTTGTCTACCTTCCCTCCTTCCTTCCCCATTTTCCTTCCTTGCTATCTTTTTTCTCTTTTCATTCCTTCTTTCCATCCATCCATCCTTCTCTTTTCCTTCCTTGTCTACCTTTCCTCCTTCCTTCCTCATTTTCCTTCCTCGCTATCTTTTTTCTCTTTTCCTTCCTTCTTTCCGTCCCTTCCTTCCAGCCATCCTTCTCTTTTCCTTCCTGCCATCCTCCTCTTTCCTTCCTTCTTCCTTCCTTCCTTCCATCCTTTTCTTTTTCTTCCTTCCTTCTTCCCTCCTTCCCTCCCCTATTCTCTGCACTATTTTTCTTTCTACATTTCTTCTCATTTTCCCTTTTTTTTACTTAATCAGATTTTTTGCTTTTTGCTTTGCTTTTTGAATTTGTATACCGCCCTACTCCCGAAGGACTCAGGGCGGTGAACAGCCAGATTTGCTACTATTCAAACATTTTAATAAAAATTTCATTTATTTTTGTTTTTAAAAAAAGAAGCAACGCTTTTTCTTGACGTGGGCTCCCCGAGCCAGGCTGCACCCCCAAACCGTTCGGTCACACGCTGAACAATTGTTTACTGTCCATGGGTCATTTATGCTCCCGCAAGGGTCCCCGGTCAAAACTTCATGCCGTGTCGGGCGAGGTCGGCTCGGGCCTCTCGGATTTCGGCCTGCAGCTCGAGCGAGGCCTCCTGGCAGTCGTTGAAGGTAGCCAGGCGGTAGCCCACGACTCCCAGCGAGTAGCAGCCGAAGGTCACCAACAGGTAGGTCGGCAGGGCCCACAGCACCTGGTGCCAGCTTGGGGATAAGGGGTGGGATCCCACGAGATCCAGCATCAACGCAGCCCAGATGCCACCCAGGAGAGCCAGAGAGCAGAGCCACTGCATCAGTTTCGTCATGATCCTGAAAAACAGCAGAGGAAAAAAAAAAACAACAGTGAAAACTTGAGAGATTTACAAGTTTCTGCCTAGCCTAGTATATTTTCAGGATACCTCTGCCAAAATTTAAAATTTTTCTTTGCAAGTAAGTACAGGAAGGATTTTTAGCTTGGCCTCTCCCTATACCACCCACCCACCCTCCTTGCAAAATCTGGAATCAAGTCTTGAGTATTAAAAACAGGCCAGGAAAAGGACAGACGTCCCTGCCTGGCAGAGAGAAAAAATGGGTTTGAATATCAGTAGATAATATAGTAGATATATTGGAGATATATTAGAGAAAAGTGTGGGAAAGGCAGGTGGAGGGAAAAAATGGGTTTGAATATCAGTAGATATTTAGTAGATATA